TGGCATGGGCATCTATCTTGCCTTTGTTTCACACTCTTTTCACTGCTAATTTCCCTCCTAACACCGTTAATCTTTTTTTTTTTTTTTCACTCACTTCAGGAGCAGTGTGAAGGAATGTAATAAGTCCAGTCAGAGAGAATTTCCCTAGTTCAGAAAAAAAAGGGTTTGCTCTGGTTTTAAACAACATGGCTGAACCAGCTAAAGCCAGAGCCCTGGAGTGGCAGACAGACATGGAGAAGGCTGCTGAAGCAGTTTGACCAGTGAGGAGGAGATGTGGGATTGCTGGAATGCTCCACTGATGAGGCAGACCCATAGACATCAACTCTTATGGAAAAAAGGTTCAGAGAGCACCCTCTTTGTGGGCCACCTGAAGGTAGAAGACTCTAGAAATCATCTGGCCTCCAGGCAACTGAGCATCCCCAGCTTTGCATGCCAGCACTCCTTTGTCATCAGCCCATCTGCCAGGCAGATGAGCTGGCAGAAGATCAGACAGGTACAGTGCAAACCTGCTTGTTTGCCAGCACACCTTCCTCAGAATAGTCCCTTATCATGTGGCATCTCAGCTTTGTCTGAAATCCAGTGGGAATGTGTTCACCTGGAGCTTCTCCAGCCAGCACTACTGCTTAACCCTGACCAACAGCTGCAGGCTGAGATAATGTCTGTGAGCACAAATTTCTGTGGAAATATATTTTTCATCTATTTTATACTTTTTATGAATATAAACAGAGCTAATCAGTTAAAATAATACTTTGGAAAGTTTAAAGACCTATTTTTATTAACCTTGAAAGTAGCTTCCCTTGAGAGGCTTTCTTTAACCAATGTAAATATTTAATATTGTATTTACTGTCCTTGTTATTAAAGATATATTTTAATGAAGCACAGTGGGTAATGACTTGCAGACCACTGATTGTCACAGGAGCAGATTAGAGATCATTAAAAGAAATAGATGACCCCTCATGCTGAAGGTGGAGTGATCTACAGGACCTTTGAGCCTGCCCTGTAATTCCATACTCCTTGAAGTTGTCAGAGTTTCAGGAAGACCATGGAATATAGGATTTGTGTTTTCTAAGATATAGCATTATCAGATTGCTGAAACATACCACTACCAGAATATTTTTATTTGCAAATAAGTCCTGTCCTTTCTCCTGGCTTTACTTTTTTCCATTGAATTATTTTCTTAGTTTTACATATATATAAAATTAAAGAACCATGGGGATCAACTATCCCCATAGACATAAATTATTAATCAAAATATAGTGATTTAGTAGCATTAAAAATTGTGCAATGAACTTTTCTAATTAACTACTATGTGAAAAGCAGAAACAAAATGCAGCTAATTTATGGAGTTGGTTGGTTGGATTGAAGAAAAGGGAAAATGCTAAATGTTTGACTTTGTGACTCCATGTTTTGATTTTTATCTTTTCCCTCTTTCCAACTCTGATCAAATTGCCACTACCAAATTTACAGAACAAAATTAAACCCTCCTCACAAAAAGCTCAGATTTCTATAACAAAAAACACAACACAACATAAGGAATGAGAATCCAAGCATGTCATTATGTGACAACATTGGAAGATAATGGTAAGGGGAAGGTTTCCAAAGAAAGAACATCTGTTTCATGAGATATGAAAAAAAAAAAAAATCCAGCAAAACAAACAAAGAAAAATCTCATTAAGTACCTTAGATTAGTACAAAACAAAAATTGAAACTCTCATCCTGTTATTAGAGATGCAGAATTTGATACATTGCATTCTCATTCTTTCTGCTGTTTCACTTGCTTTGCCTTTGCTTCTTAGACACTTGTTCATATAGAACCAAAATCAAGAGAAAACAACAGGGTTTGCCTCAAACTGGTGATGTATCAAATCATGCAGAAATTGAAGCTATCTTGGGAATCCTGGGAAATCTGCTCTCAGTGTTACAGCTATTAGTACCCATTCAATGGTTGCACTCTAAGATTTGGGAAAATTTCCCTATTGTGCCATTCACGAGCCTAAGTTTCATTGTGCCATTGCTTAAAGTTAGCTGTCTTTCCAGAACTTGCTTGACTCAAGATTGATATTAAAGCAGATGGTTTAACACTTTCCCAGCTGCGGTCTTTTCTCTCTCTCTTTCTTTTTCCTTCTTCCATAAAAGTGGCTGTAAGTTTTTTGCCACTCGGCATATTCATGTCAGAACATAATTTCTTTCCTTCTAAAATTCTTGCCTTTCCATTTAATAACTTGTATTTTAAAATAGACTCACTGTTATACATCTACTATTGTATCCTAAATAATCCCCTCATAAATCAGGGATTATTTCCTATCTAAAAATTAAATGTCTTCTTAAAAATCAGTTTAAAAACAATCAGATGACTCAAAGTACACAGTGAGGAGGGATTTCCCTAGGTTTGGGAGAGTTTAAAAATGTCACCCCATCTTTCCAGCGTAGATGGAAATGAGTAGATCTTTTCAGAATTATGGTTTGCTGGTTGAGAATAACTTTAATCTTTGAAGCTGCCTGAGTTATGCTTTAATCAGTGGAGTTTTTTTCTTTTTTTGAACAAAGCTACGCCTGTGGTTTACCACCCAAAAGCATCATGTGGTAGAGTCCATGTATATAGACTGTTTCAGTAAACCTCACTAGAATAGTCTTGATTTTAATGGATTGAATAAGCTCATTTTGAAAACTAAGAATTCAAGAATTCAAATACTTCAAAGTGAACTTCAAGAGAGAAAGTGAGCTGAAAGTTTATCCTTCTAGCATAAGCTTCAACATGCAAAAACCCACCAAACTTTCCAGATCTGAATCTAAAAGCACATTTTGGCATTCCAGACCAGCACTGCCTTCCACTTCAGGATCAAGCTTTACACAGAACTCAGATTTTTAACCCCAAATTTCCCCTCATAGACAGGTCTAGGCACATTGGTCTATGCAGAAGTAACTTCATTTGAGGAGTCAGAAGTTTTTCTCCTGCTTAATCTTCTCACAACAGAGACCCAAAGCAAAAAGTACCTATATGAGGAAGCAGAAAACAAAGTTATTGGAGGTGATTAACTTCCCCCTTTTTCCTCTTTTACTAGGCAGTCTCCAGCTATTATTAACTTAAACATTCCTGACATTACCATTATATTTGTACCCCAATAGCTCCTCTTCCTCACAAAGGTTGTGCTCCCTATGTCCAAAACATCCCAGTACAGCAGGATGCTCTAATCTGGCTTAATTTGAATTAACTGCACTTGTCCAGAAGCCTCAGTCTGGGCATTTTTATCCAAAATCATAGCTGGAGGACCTAAAGTCTGCTTTTTGTACAAATCCCAGCGGTTAGATTTTTAGACCAACAGAAGACTTGAGATCATATCTCTTTTCACTCTAAACTGTTTTGACACTGCAACTGCCACTTTACAGAAGAAAATCTGAGTTTCCCGGCTACAGAAAGAAAAACTGACCACTCTTGTTTCCCAAGATGAGCAGAGGAGTAGCAGGAGCAGGCCAGAAGCAGAGCAAGTGAAAGGTGGTATGATGGGGTAGCATTGTCAATGAGGACATGTAGAAATGAGCAGCATGGGTTCTCAGCTCCCTAGATAACTTCAGAGTTTAATTCACCAAGTGAAATACAAAACTTTAATGGTTATATTAAGTGGAGCTGCATTAAAGGTCTGAATTAGAGTATATTATTTTAAGAGGATGTAACCACAAGTGGTAATCTAAGTATAACTGTAACCACGCAATATGTGCAACTGAAATAGAGCGCCGTGTTGGCAAAACATTCGGCTGTTTCCCAGCTCAAAGCTGCATGGATCAAGCAAGCAGCAATTGTAAGGCTTTCGCATTAACTTACTGAGCTCCTATCACAGCTTGTAGAGGAGAAGCCAGTCACGTTGCAGACAGCTCAGATAAGTGTTCCTTGAAGACTGACATGTTGTTCCCAACTCTCTTGTCTAATTAAAGACCCAAAACATTATTCTACTGCAGCTGATGGCAGCACTCACTTGACATCAAAGGGAATCGAGATTTGCCATTCATTTATGAAGAACTATTTTTACCACATGATTAAAAAAGAAAAAAAAAACAAAAACAAGGCAATTCACACTGCATCCCATGGTAGCACTTTGTGTCTAGGCACTGGCAGACCCAGCTCCATATCTCAGAGGTCCCACTTGGAGCCAGGAGATCAGCTCCACAATGAGGTTGCAGTATGTGAACCAAGTTCCAGTCATCTCCAGAGATCCCAGCTCTGGCAGGAATCCCATCCTGCTGTTCAACTGGCACACATGCGACAAGACTGAAGAGCTTGCAAACTAAATAGACAAAGATACAAAAAACTCCATTGTGCAGATAAGAAAGCTTATGCCGAGTGGCTCTCCTGAGTCTCCTGCTTCATTGTGTGTAAGACTGTAACTGAAGATAGTTTATAATCAGGGTATAAGTGCTGGAAGAACTGTGAAAAATTAGGGATTACACCTAGTCTGGAAAGCCTTGGCTCCCAAATAAGTGGGGGAAAAGGGAAAGATCTACAACCTTAAAATTGTGATATTATTAATTACCATTCTCCAGATGAAATGCTGAAAAATAAGGTCTCAGAAAAGGAATCAATTAAGACAAAAATTTCTTCCTCCACAGAATTTTAATTTGGACTTTAAGCAAGGAAATATTTTTGCATAATTTATTGTTGCTGCTCTATAGAGACCTGCTTCTTCAGTCATAGTATGGTAAGATAATTCTAAATGGAAGGTCCTGTGTGAAACCAAACTCTAAACTGTGTTTTGTATTTTAATGGAGATTCTTTCACAGTGTATTCCATTCTGGCTAATGAGATAGTAGCAATAAATGCACCAGAAAGGACAGATAGAAGATAGTCAGCTGTCTGAATCAGAAGATTTTCAAAGTGCAGTAAACAAATGAAGCACACTTTTCTGGCTTGAGGCCGAGTTATACTCTAGGGAACTGGTCAAAGAGTGGATCATGAAAAGCTTTTTGAGAGCAGCTAAATTCTACAGCTGTGGTCTTTGTTTTTCTAGTACTTTGCAAGAACAGAAGGGGGAATTACGAAAGCGCCTATCGTACACTACCCATAAGCTGGAAATGCTTGAAACAGAGTTTGACTCTACACGTCAGTATCTTGAAATAGAATTGAGACGTGCTCAGGAGGAACTTGAAAAAGTAACTGAAAAACTGAGAAGGTTAGTAATGAACTTTTTGCAATAAACAGAGTTATTAGAATTTTAAGAGTGACTGTATTTAAGATGTATGTAAGTAAAAGCACAGTTGCAAACATGCATGATTTATTATTTATTGATTACACATTGTGTTTTGTATTTAATATATAGATTTCATTTACCTGAATGTATATTGCATGCCACATAAAGTTATTTACATGTGATATGTAAGATGTCTCTGTACTAAAAGCAAATATGAAAATAGAAATACACCTATATATGTGCAAATATGACACTATTTATGTATAAACATACATGTGGGGTAGTGCCATATGGCATTACACGTATAAAAGTTATAAAGCCACTACATATATATATTATTTATACTCTATATATAGATAAATCTTTTATTTCACTACTTTACGCATTTTCTTTGTTTAGAGTTCATTGTGCTGATACAAGAGAATAGAATTTGGTTCTACATCACTCAAAGCTATGTTCAATTGAAACAATATTCAGGCATTTTACATCATAGTACAGAAAATAATTTCCCTTTTAGTCTCAAGCAGAATAGAATGATGCTGAAAAGCTATTATTTAAAACTGTTGTAGCTGCGGTACGATGCTGTTACAAATCAGTAACCTAGTTAATGGTAGTGATAAATTATGTTAAGCTTGTGCTCCTGGCATTCCTGGCATTGATTAAAATGGTCTTTTGCATTTGTTATCAAAACCTCTGAAACTAGAATTATCCACTTATACAGGAATGTATTTGCATGTCTTGTGAGACTTTCTTAAACTGATATCTTAATGGAACTATTTGATTAATTCATTGGATGACTCAAAATGAAATTCAGAATAAATCATTCCAGGGCAATACCCAAAGAAATATTTTTCATTCCTTGGGGAAGGCCAAAGCCAAACCAAAACAATGACAGAAACCACTAATAAACTGAGTCAACCAAACCATGTTATGCAAATTTTAGACAGAATGAACCTGTAAGATCTCAAAAGTAGGAAACAGCCTAGTGTGGTTTTATAACTTAAATGCTTCACTAACTGGGGATGCTTCTCAAAATGAGACTAAAATATGAAGATGGTGTGGTGATTTTGAAATCTATACATATCTATCAAGAGCAGTCTGGAGGTTCTCCATATAGTTTTCTTGTCAACAGTATTATTCCTATTTTTTCACCTAGAGTAGAGCCACTGAAAGTAACTTCATTCTTGATGTAGTTTTGCTTCAATACATTCCAGGACAGGGAGCACTGGTGCTCTTTTCTCTTGAAGCATCAATTTGGGCAGCTGTCATAAAGCAGCAGAAGGGCTGTCCATCCCACTTCTGTTAAAACAGATGGGCTTCCTAGTCAGTAGAAAGCCTCTTATCAACTCCACTGAGCACCAACAAGTTAAACTCCCTTTGAAACTCAGGCCAGGGGCTCACAGGCAAGTCTAGTGTTCATACCAGAACACCACATTAGCAGGCCTGACTTTCCAATATTCTAATGGAACACTGTACCATATTATGAAGAAAACTTATATTAAAAATTATGTTTCAGGCAGGTGATTACTCCCCTGAAGACATATCATAATGGAAGCCAAAAATATTTTACGAGGTGAGCTTTAAAAATGTTTCTATTGAGAATAGCAAGGCATCCTGCAAGTTGAACATCTAGATTTGTCAGCCTGGTGAAGGATAATGTCTGAAAAAATCCTGTCATCCAAAATCTTGTCAGCAACATGTCACAGAGGAAAATCAATGTGAGAAAAACAAAGTAGAATTAATTTCAATTATGTGTCTGTTCCTTTATTCACTGCACAAGGAGAGAAATTCATCCCCCCATAGATCAATAGGCCCTGTGAAACAAGATCCCACCTGTACACTGGAGAACATTTCTGTTATTAAATTTCCTTTTCTGTAAAGTGCAATTTTTTTTTTCCAAGAGGCTGAATGACTATCCTTTTGTAATCCTTTCTGAAGGTCTTTGTCTTAATTTATCCAGAATTGCCTGTGCTGTTGCTAGGCTTCCCCAGTTTTACTCAAGAGAGGAGGTCACTTGTGTGGCTCAATGGTCAAGTTTTCAACCTGTCTACAAACATGCAGAGATGGCCTCATTCTTTTTTCTCAGTGAGAGAACAGTGCTAACTAGATTTGAAAATTATAACTGTAAAGCATTTGTTCAGCTTTGAAAAGTGACTGAAAAGAGAGGGGATTTCATACTCCTCACAGTGGTCCCTGATCTGACATGGTCAACACAGCTTTTATAAGATAAAACCTGAAAAATGTCAAAATCCAAACTTGGAACCACAACTGGACTCCAAAAGTCACTTTGGGTTTCTTCCTTGAGACCTTGCCCTGGGTAAAAACTTGATGAGTTCCCCATTCTATCTTTCAACAGAAAGTAGAGTTATTTTAAGGCATGAGAAGGAAACTCATAAAAGAATATATTTAGCACTGAGATTAGCCCACACATATAATTATTTCACCAAAAGCAAGACATTTCACAGACTGAAGGGGTGTTCTGAACAGTAATCCTGGAGGAAAAACTATTGTTTTCATAAGAATGTTGGTATAACTTATGATAACAGAGAGAAAAAAAAAATTTGAACAAGAAGCTACTCTTTCAAGAGTCACTTTTCAAAGCTAAACAACACTCCAGAAGAAATTCTCTTCTTTAAAGAAAGTCAGCCCAAGACTAAGTTTTACATTAGATGTATTTATTGGCCTTGAGAGGGCTTGAGACTGAGTGGAAGCAGAGAAATAGTGACTTTTGCAGACTCCCCCTTCAGTGGTGATCTGCAGCCTTAGGAAAGAGGGTATAGTCTGGTGGGCTAGAGCACAGACACCTGACATGTTCAACATGGTCAGAATATTTTTAATTAGGCCCTTATTTGGTCAAGAATCTAAACATTTGTTTAATGGATGCACATATGTGCACCTGAAGTCACATGAGTATCTCCTAATGACACGAATTACACAAGAAGACATCAACACATGATAATAGATTATCAATTAACTTCAGTTTATCCTTATGGCAGTTTTGCAGCATAGTGAAGCCTACTCTTCATTTTATTTTCAAAGCCTTATTTACAAAGTTAAAATATTTCATACTTCGCAATGTTCAGGCTATCTGGGTGTATTTTTTCTGCAAGCAAGGTTATGTTACCATTTGCTCATCTAATATTCCCTACTTTTTATTTCCCCTTCCCTCTATCTTACAGTTTTGACTAAAGATTGATCTGTTCCTCTTTTATCCCTTAAACACTTTCTTCCATGTATTTCTGGGTCCATTTCTCTCCTTTCCACCTACATTTGCTGACACTTCTTTTGGCACAGTGAATTTCCAATTTGGGGTTTATACATATACGTGCATGTGTATGTGCTTGTGGACATGTGTATGTGTTTGTGCTTATTTTGACTACCTTTGCATACTGTTCTCAATAGAAACACTTTTTGAAGCTCAGCTTCCTACTTACTGTGGATTTTTTTAAATTTTGATTTGACTGTACTGGGAGGTGGTCATTTTCTCAGTACAAAATGAATGTGTTAGAGAACTAGAATTTATGAGCTACTTTCACCTAAACATATAACAGGCAAAAATTGGATGGGTAAAGGCAAAAGAAACTACAAAGTGAGAAGCAGACTGTGATAAACTCCTGCAAAACCCTCTACCACCATCTATGGCATGGAAGTGTTGCCATTGAAAAATAATTAATGATAATTAGCATTTCAGTCAGCCATATCAAGAGAAAAAGTGAAAACAGAAGCTGAGGAACAAACTCATTGTTGCCATGATAAGTTTGCTATCCAAGCAGCTGTTTTTATTCATGGTCTCAAAGATGGGGAAAGGGAACATTCAGGGTCTCCCTTGAGCTGTCCAGATCAGTAACCACTGCAGGACAGCCTGTGGTACAGGGGCACTTGGACTAGAAAAAGCTGAACCAAATTTTTTCTCCCCTTTACTTTCAGGAAGTTATGCAAGTGCTTTTGAACCCATGAAAACCTTTAGGGCATTGCAAGTGCTAATGTTTAAATCGGTTTTTACACCACCTCCACTTGAACCACAAACTGCCTGGATGCAAAGCAAGTTTAACCTGTTCTATTTTGCTTTACTAGACAAAAACTATAAACTATGACAGAAAAGATGCTGGGGCACTTCTGGGCTCAGCCAGAAGGCACTATTTTACTTCTTTAAGTCCTTTCTTCCAGCATCATGGCACGCGTCCTTACCAGCAAAACAAAGTATTTGTGCTGAGCAGCTGCCAGCAAAGTCATTTGAATCCTCCTTGTATCAAGATCATCTCTGCTTTCTTTTGTACCACAAAAAGATGGGTACAGAGTACCCTGAAACTTGTCTCTGTTGTGTTGACAGCTAAATGGCTGGGAAAATCCCAAGTAAACCTAGAGCTGCACAAATCAATGTCTATAGAGAGGCTTAGTGATAAATAGTGTGAGGAGCATGGACAATGCAGAGAATTGTAAACTTCAGTCAGTCCTTTAAGTTAGCTGGACACAAACACAATAACACTATGAGAACTGGTGAGTATTGACCAAGTCTCACAGTACAAGTCTCAGAGATTTTCAGCCCACTTGGGTCACCACCTTAGCAAACACTGTTTACCACAGATCCTCCTCACAGGAAAGAAGTCTCTGCTCAGCACCTCTGTAAAACATAGGCAACATTGAGAATTCCCTCAGTTTGCAAAGCATATTGGAAATGGCTGCCCTGATTGTGGGCTGACCCTTGGTACCCTAAGGGTCATCCATGGGGATGTCATTATTTATATCCACAGAGCAGATGTCCTTGGCACAGACATCCCCTCTCAGGTCTGTCAGCAGACGTTCTTGCAATGCTGGGAGACCCAGCCAGAGCTCTGCATCCCCTAAGAGGGGCACTGCAAGTTACTGGTCTGCCCTGAATGGAGAATTCTTATCATTTAACTGGAAAGAAAAGCTCCATGGCAACAGAAGCCAAGATAAGCAACACTTTGCCAAGAAGGAGTGGGCTGGACCTTTTGATTTGCAGCTATGGCATGTTTGGAAAACAGATCATTCCAGTTTCAGCAGCCACTCCTAACCAAATGATAAACAAAGAGACTTCTTTAATCCCAGTCCTATCCTGATAACCACAGAAACTACACCAAGATCCAGACTTGTCAGAGGAAGTGGTTTTGCTGCATAAATGTGGATTACATCTGAGTTCACTCTTACAGTGAAAACACCTTCACATTTGCTAAAATCTCTTCACTGCTGAAATACTGACCTATTGATCCATATAGCCATATAGATTTATTCAGACAAACTTTTCACAGCTGAGCTTCTAACATTTGCTTTGCATTTGTTATACATCATGCTGGGTACTAATGAACAAGGAGCGATCCTCCTTATGTTCTGTGGAGTTAAAGCTACAGCTACTACCAAAATACCAATGGTTTTCCCATGGGCTGTGCAGCTTGCTCATTACAATACCAAGGTTACCATCTAAAGATGTGCAGGCTGAAACTTTTCTTTGGTGTGTTGCTCTGGAATAAGTAGGGAAGCCTCATTTTGTGAGTTCATTCAATCCCTAAATGCTGATAAAAATAAATACCCATCTTTTCTCAGCTAAGCTGTCTAAATATACTTCCTGGGAAAAATAGGCAACTTCTTGAACTTTTGTTGAAAGAAATATTCTCTTCTAAGTCACATGTTGATGCCCACATGTTGCTACAGTCATTAGGATTCTGCTGCAATTTCACAATAAATCTTTTTTAGTGCTGCCTCAGCCTAGAGCTCAAGCTTCCTCTCTTACATACTATTCTTGAGCCTGATGTAAAACTGTAATTACCTTGTGCAAGTTCCTAGGCTGTAACTTGTGTCTGCACACAAGTGCAGAACAACCAACATATCTTCATTTCCTGCTGGAATATGCTGCTAAATATAGAAAGAAAATATGACAAGTTTGGAAGTTTGCTTAGGAAGCAGGTGGTAATTGCATTTCAAAGGCAGCCACTGACTGGTAGCAGGAGTGATAAGCAAATAGAATTTAAATAGTTCAAGCCAAGGTTTTGTACTGATGTGAAAATACGGGTAAAAAAACAACATGAAAAGCAATGCATTCAGTTACATGATATCATCTTTGTTTTAGGATACAAAACAATTACCTAGCCTTACAAAGAATTAATCAGGATCTGGAGGATAAACTTTACAGAATGGTAAGTTATCATAAGTGCTTTTTTTTTTTTTAATATATATATTAAATGTGGTTTTGTGGTTCTTAAGTCATTGGAAAAACATGTATGTAGCTGTCACAAAAACACCCTCAAGCTCTAAAAACAGTTATGCTTGGAAAAGATATCATGATGAAGAGCTCAAGCTGAGTACAATTACATAGCTCCACCAATTTAAATAGAGATTGCCTAGACTGATGATCTATCTGAGTAAATTGTACCTTTACAATCATTTTGGTTAATTTAGTTAATAACTTCATGGGATTTAAATATTTATGTTTTCATTAAGTTTCAAATTTAAATAAGGTTATCCAAGGTTCTGTCATGCTTCTTAGATACTTCCACTCAGCTTTTATTAAGTGACTTAATAGAGCTTGGGTGGCCTGACTTTTAAATTCTTTCATAACTATCAAGCTCGGTATATTAATTTCCAATCTGCATGCATCTGCCACCACAGCATCAATGGCACTATCACAGGCCAATTAATAACCAAGTGGGGAAAACACTGCAGCTTTTGTGGGCTCCACATTGCAAGACACAGCACCCTGGTTCAAAATAGCTTGAAGATGTCAAAAAAGAAATGGCAAAGCCCTTGGAGCCCTGGCTCATTGCTGATGATGTCAGGACATTGTGCTCATTGTTAGGAGTAAAATTACAAAGGAATGTGAGTATAATTTTTAGAGAGGAAAGAATGACAGTTTTAAACTTCCAAAGATCTCAGGTAGCAATTGCATGGATGAGCAGCTTGGATCAGGGAAAACAATTTATTGTGGATTTTGGGTAAGTACAGACTGTACTATATAGGAGAGGCACCAGCCTTTACTAATAAATAAATTTTTGAAAATGTCATTGTTCTTATCTCAGAATCCTGTCTCAGTAGCTAGCAATGAATAGGGGACTGAGCTTTTGCTACTGGCTAACAGAAGGGCAAAATTACAGCTGGGTTGCAGCTGACATTTCTTTATAAATATATGTTTAAACACTGTAAAAGCATAAATAACATTTGGTCTTGTGTTATTGCTTTCTTTCTCCACTCTTCTTTTGTTGCTTTTTCCTTTTGTCCAAATCAATTCAGGATTTTGTCTTCATCTGTAGCCAACATTTGTTACCTATGCATCACAAAAGATAAATAAAGTACAGTCATTCAGGCTGGTAAATGAAAAAGAAATAACAGAAATACCCAAAGAAGGATTCCAGAAAATCCATGTGTTTTTATCAGGTATTTCAGATCAAAGCAAAGAATTTTTAAACTGCTGTTTCAGCATCCAGTTAAATCCTTGAGAAATTATTTCACAGCACAGCACAAATAACCCAAAAACCAGACCTGTGGAGCACTGTGCCCTTCTTTATCCCACTAATATGACAGTCATTGAAGATAGTTTTAGAGGCTTGAAGAAGATCAATCAGGCTCTGTACACCACTTAAATCCAGACTGCTTTGCTTTCTGAAATATTGAAACTAAAGACACAAAACAAACCAAAACAACTTTCAAATAGAAAATCCATTAAAAATAAAAAGATGAACAAGAAAGTGCCATGTCTGATTTAGATAAGTCAGGCCTTTTGATTTAGGGCACTCCAAGAGCCCTTAATACTTCAGAGACCATTCAATTAAATAACAGCTGGTGTGGCTGATCAGCAGCTTATGGTGGACTGGGCCCTTGGATACCTTTCTCTCCCTTTCCTGCTTAGGAGGAACAGCTGTGTGTATTTATTGTTTTGTTTGGTTTGGTTTGTCATTCTAAAGTCAAACACTTTTGATTTCTCTACCCGTATACAAATCCAAATGTATAAACCATGTGTTTACTTCCTCCCTCTCTCCCCTACCCCACGCCTCTGTATATGCCCATGTGGATACACACACACACACACACATATGTTTTTTACTCAAATTCAACAGGTAGAAAAGGAAAGCTCCCCAGGCAGTGGTCCCTTGCTCCCCTTGCCTGCAGATAACATAGGATGCTCCCCGGAGGTGAGCCACTCCCTGCCCTAACAGGTGACTCACAATTCCTCCTCATTGCAATTCCTCTAGGACTCCACTGTGACCTCCCTTTTCTAGACTTTTATCCTGAATATTAAAGCATTTCATGCCTTCTATTGGTATGAGAGATGTAACACAATAATCATTAATTCATCAGCAGTCACAGGAAAGAAGTTGATGCAGCAGTTATTTTTCTTCTAGGCTCTTCTTCCTTTTAGATGCTAATCTATAAAATATTTAAAAATATTTGAAAGCACACTTCTGATCACAGCAAATGGTATCCAATTGAAACTTATGTCACATCAGAACTTGAAGTATAAATATAAAATACGAACCATGGTGTCTCATTTGGCTAAGGGCTAAAAAATACAATCCTGAAATCAGGGGAGAGCTTGCTGTATTAAACTGGGCAAGACTAAACATGGGGAACAGTAGAGGAATGTGGCACAGAGTTAAAATTCTGCTGTCATTCCTCTTAAAATTCCTGTTCTTACTACAGTAAGTGCCTTCAACTGGAGATTTCTTTATTAAGAAATCTTTAAGTGGAATATAGAGCCTGTCTGCCTAAATAATTAATCTTTATAACTCTTTTCTCCATTAAGATGTGGGAAAATACTAAGCATAGTCCTCACATTTTTCACTGCAATTCCATCACAGCACTGTTCAATCAAATTTTTTTTTTTTAATATTTAGTGCCAGTTGTCAACAGTAATCTTCACTTTCCTTTACACTTGTTTGAATTTTTGGAGCATGCTCTGCCATGGTCCTGCTGCTCACAAACAGCAATTACAAGTAGATTGTGCAAGTTATCCCAACCACAAGTTAAGAAATCCTTTACATTATCTCAATCCAGATGTATTCTGCATATGAACCTCTCTAGAATTAAGCAATGTATTTTAAAAAGCTTTTGAAGTTTTAAGGTTTTAGTTGCAGTTAGTTCTGTTGTTTTACCTTTAATGCCATAAGCCAGATTTTTAACAGTATCCTCTTTTAGGAAGAACTGGTGCCTAATAATAGCTGCTTAATAAACCCTACTGCTAATGAAAATTGCAGCCATTTCTCCTCCTCCATCTGCATTTTGAATGTTCTTGAAAACATGATCACAGAAATCCAGCTGCAAAGAGCTCAGGAGACCTTATTATCCAGAAACACCCTAAAATCTGCCTTTTTTACTAAGTTTGACAGACAGACTGCTGGATGGTATCAGCTCTGGTTCCCACCTCTGCAAAGCCAGCACCAGCCCTCTGCACACAGTGCATTATACACTCTATGATCTGTCAAGTTGAAAACTCCTACATTTTTACAATAAAAATGTAAAAAATTTACAGCTAAATTTTACCGTACAACTTTCACAATATTACACACTTAAGTCTGATTTTTCATTTACATTAAGGCAGGCTGGGAGTGAGACTGCCATAAAGTTGGAAGAAACTATTATATAAACAAGCAGTAAATAGGTATTTGTGTTAAGGATGATCATGTCTGAAATTCTGCACTTTCTGAGCGCTGCACTGGTTTTTATCCCATTTCTGCCTCTGCCTATGAGTTGGAGGAGGACTAGGAGGTACAGCAAATACTTTATGTTCTATGTTATTAAAAATTATTTATCCAGCTCCTGAATATCTGGGGTTTTCCAGTTTGCTGGCCATAATAGTTACTTAAACACTTCCAGTTGGGGAAATCCAAATGTGAATTAAATATGAGCTGGGCAGTTTTAAATAGTGCTCTGAGACCTTGTGCTGGGGAAATGTTATTTTAAAAGAAGCAGATTTCTGGATATCCAGGCCAGGAAGGTAAAGAACATGGGAAGTGGTGAGGAATTTGATGAAAATTTTCAGTCAAGCATTAAAAACCTCTAAATACCAGCTGTTTGGCTTTGGAATTTGAACCAGTCCCTAAAATGCACATAAGTCTCTTGTGATGCCTACCAGTCACAACCCCAGAAAGATTAAAACAATGGAGAGAAATCCTTTTTCTCACACAAACATAAGGAAAACAGAAGCCCAGCATCCTTGGGTTCTTGAATGGAACATGATGACTTTGATAGTGACTTTGAACAGAGTGATTTCAAGCCCATCTTTTTCATTTTCTTTCCTTTATGGAAGAAGATGTTTCTCTGCCTCCCCCATGTCCCATGAAAATCAAATAGAGATGGCCTAAATATACTTAAAAGGATTTGCATCCCAAAGACAAGAAAGTTTCGAGTCAGCTCAACCTGGCAGGCTCATTTACTCACATTCAGTGAAGACAGCTGTGAATTTCAAGAGAAATTTCTACTGGTTGGTTAGTTAAGGCAGAAGCCAGAGAAGGTTTGTGCCTTGTGGACTAAACTGCAAAATAATATTTCTGTGGAAGGAAATGACCGTAAATGGCACAGAAAATAATTTATAAAAATAGCAGTTGAAAAAATGCATTTCTAGGAGGACTTAAGGCTACATGGTTTTATGCTTACAAGCACTTTGTGCTAAAAATGTCAATTTCTCACTAACTCTTTTCACACTCATGTTCCAAGTTAAAAATACTGCCAAATAGGCAATAGGACCTACACACATTAACACCTGTAGGAACTACACAAGCTCTGATGGAGTAGGCTCATGAGTTTTGCAGTCAAATAAATGAATTCTTGTGCGTAATTTGGGAACATGAGCACGAGCACACAGGCTTTCAGACATCCTCAGTCCTTTCACTCTCACTGAACAGAGATTCACTTCCCACTGTTGCTCCATTGTTACGTTGTTGGTGATGGTTGCCCAGTCCTCTTCCCAAGAGACACCTAAGGCAGCCCAGCCCCTCCCAATTTGCTCTACATGAATATGACATCTTGAGAGACTGTTCTGGAAGCTACTTTCCATTTTTCCTAAAGACATGAGACTGTTCTGCTCTGTCTCTCCCTCTCAGTAGGACATCTTCCACAGCTACAGAACCTAAGGAACCTGTAAAATGACAATGGACACTTCTCACTTTCAACATTGCCTCTGTTGTATGATGGCAAAACTCCTTCT